GTTAATATCTGCATATATACATATATACCTGTATACATATATACATATATACATATATACATATATACATATATACATATATACATATATACATATATACATATATACAAATATACATATATACATATATACATATATATATTTAATATATATTAAATTTATGCAGGCAAAAGGGATTTTAGTCAGGGCATAATTTGGTGGTGGGCGAGAGAGGGGTGCTTAACTTGGAGGGAGGCGAGAGCGGGACGCTTATCAGAGAGAGTCTTAATGGGAAGCTTAAAAGAGGCAGTCTTTACGGTACGATTATTTACCGTAGTCTTAAGAGTTAGGCGTAACATCCGTAGTCTTTTGAATCCTAGTATTTAGAAGACTCTCTAAATAGAATTTAAATATCTAGGAGAAAATACATATATATATTGATTGTTTTTTTAATAGGTTTTTATATTTAAATACATACAGTTTTCTTTTCATTTGCACGTATAATGAAATTGAAATTTCCCAGTCGTCCTCAGAAATAGCTGAGTGTAGCCTGTAGTGTAGAATGTGTAGAGTAAATACTAAATACTAAATACAGTACAAAATTGAGTAAATAGAGAGAGAGAGTCTCACAGGAGGCCTCGACCTCGACTAAGGAATCAGGGCCTCTGGGGCCGACTGGGGGTCGTACAATGTACAATTGTACGTATTAGAGGGGCATGGGGGCAGCGGGCCCTGGCCTAAGGAGTCCAAGGACTGGAAGCTGGACCCTGTGGCCGTGACTTTTATTTTTTGGCGTTAAAAAGTATTAAAAACAAATAGAAGTATGTTGAGGACTCAGGAGTCAGGAGTGAGGTCTATAAGTTTGTATTGGCTTGAGTTGAACAGAGGAGTGGACATCCATATTAGACCCTGGCTGTCTGATTTTAAGGCTATGTCTCATTTTTTTTTTGCCACGCTATTGGCCTATTGTGCTTGCTTTGTGAGGAGTTCCTGGGTCTCTGGGTCTCTGGGTCTCTGGGTCTCTGGGTCTCTGGGTCGCTGCCTCTCTGGCCTAAGACTCTGGGTCTCTGGGTCGCTGCCTCTCTGGCCTAAGACTCTGGGTCTCTGGGTCGCTGCCTCTCTGGCCTAAGACTCTGGGAGTCTGGGTCTCTTAAGTCTCTTTGTTGCAGCTCTGCCTCCCTGGGAATCTGGAATCTCTACTAGAGAGGAAGCTGGAAAGCTGGAAAGTGGGGAAGTGGGGACTGGCAGCTAGCAGCTTGCAACTACCAACTTGCAACTGGCAACTGGCAACTGGCAACTGGCAACTGGCACCTAGTAACTGGCACCTAGTAACTGGCACCTAGTAACTGGCAATTAGCAACTAGAAGCTGGCAATTAGTTACTGGCAATTAGTTACTGGCAACTAGCAACTGGTAACTAGTAACACAGACAACTAACAACTGGCAATTGGCAACAAGTAACTGGCAACTAGCAACAAGCAACTAGAAACTGGCAACTAGCAACAAGCAACTAGAAACTGGCAACTAGTAACTGGCAACTAGTAACACTTGACAATTAACAACTGGCAATTGGCAACTAGTAACTGGCAACTAGCAACTAGTAACTAACAACTAGCAACTGACAACTAGTAACTAGCATCTGGGAACTAGAAACTTGCAACTGGCAACCGGTAACTAGCAACCAGTAACTAACAAATGGCATCTAGTACCTAACAACTAGCAACTGGCAACTAGTAACTAGTAACTGGCAACTACCAACTACCAACTAGCAATTGGCAGCTGGCAACTAGAAACTAGTAATTGGAAACTAGCAACTGGCAACTGGCAACTAGTAACTAGTAACTGGCAACTGGCAACCAGAAAATCGCAACTGGCAACTGGTAACTGGCAAATCGCAACTGATAACTGATAGCTGGCAAATTGCAACTGTAAATTGCAACTAGCAAATTGCAACTAGCAAGTTGCAACTGGCAACTCAGCTCTGTCTGGTAGCTGGTAACTGGTAACAGGTCGAAGTGTAGCGAATCGAGGACTCGGGTGACCCAAAGTTCAATATCAAGTCTTTTAAAAAGTCTCAGGAAACAGGGGATCAGCTTTAGGGGAGTCAGGGGCTCAGGGTTGTTCAGGCCCATTTTTGTACAGTCGCCCATTTTTGTACAGTCCGGGATAGTCTAGATATCGTTGGCCCACGGTTGAGAAAGCTGCTATCTGGGCTCTTTTAGTTCGTACTTATACGGATTGAGATATTTGCAATTCGTGACAGGGAATTATTAGAGTTCGGGACGCCGAGGAACGTAAATATGCATAAATCTGAGCTAGAGCGTCATCAGACACATCAATCATCACATTCATCAGTCATCAGTTAATCACATCAGAATGCATTCATGTGATTAGTGATTACAGCAGACTGGAGAGTGTGAATTGCAAACAGAGTAGCCTACTCTCCCTCTTTCTACTCTCTAGCAAGTAGCAACTCTTTTGTATATGAAGAGTGAAACCCACATGTTCGAAATTCTCTCTCAGTCTCTTGTTGCGAAGTTGTGTACGAGCAATCGGCCCAAAATGGATGACTGTCACATTCTCGGGCCATCAGGTATCCGGCCGGAACAGGTCAGCAGGCTCACCTACAGGCTACCAGAGTAAACCAGTATTGTAACCACTAGCCAGTGCTACGGTGCCACCGGCCCACCGCCCACTGGGCACCGGGCCAAAACCGGCCAATGCCACCTGCAACTGGAATAAGATTCTCAAACAGGCTATCACTGTTTGATATTGTGCGGGTCACAGCCCCACAGGACACAGGCCCATGACTATGAGTCCACGACTCACGGGGGCCCACGAGGCCACGAGTCCATGACCTACACGGCTACACAGCCCACACTCCGCGACCACAATTTTACTACTAAAAATACCAAATATAATCCAAACAGAAGTTAAAAAATACTTGGGCTGCGTAGTCTTTCTTATTGATTAATATATATAGATATTTCAGATACGCAAAATTCATTGATCTTTACTTTTTTACGGAGTAACTTTTAAAATAAGTCAAAGATTAAAGATATATACATATACACAAGTATTTTGTTTCCTAACTTATGTTTTTCAAACAAAAAAACAAACAAACATTATACTGCATTATGAAAAATGAAAGAAGTGGTACAGATGTATTTTTTTATTAAATGTTTTCAAAAACCCCTTTTTAACTTGTATATTATTTTCTTAAAAAAGGTCCTAAACTCCATTTTTGTTTTGAAAAAAGCAAAACAGTATATACTGAATTTAATACCTACTGCGGTCTACGACTCTACGAATAAAAAAGAGTAATGAGAGTTATAAAATAACTAATTTTTTTACGTCACAGACTGTGGGACTGATGAGAGTCTGAACTCTGAAGTCTGCAGTCTGAAGTCTGAAGACTGTCAGAGTGTCAAAAATTACATATTTACAGTCGTACAATACATACCCCCCTTATTCTTAATTTGTTTTAAAACAAAAACATCAATTTATAAATATAAAAAGAAAACCAAAAAATATATATATATATATATATATAAAAGCCTACAGTACATAGTAGGCTACTCTAGTAGCACATGAAGGCTGAAGCTCCGACAGATAGCTTTTCAGGCTTTTCGCCTTTTTTCAAAATAGTGGAATGACTCCAGAGCACAATCCAGTCAGCGTTCAAGCTAGGATATCATGATATCGTTGAGACTTGAGAACCATGGAACAGATAGATTATACTCTCTCTTGCCCACCGGCATTCAGCCATCGGGCCAGCCATACACCATTGTCCATTGACGGAAAACTGGAAAAGAAAAGAAGACGCATACACACTTACACAGTCGCACAGTCGCACAGTCGCACAGTCGCACAGTCGCACAGTCTCGCAGCAGCCTACTCTACTACTCTCTTTAGAATAATGCCCTTAGGCCCTCTCTAGTAGCACGCCACACAGTCACAGACCCAGAGTCACTGCTGCTGCATCCGCTCTTGATTCTGCACTCTCTGGGGATTCTGCACCCTGCACTCTGCACTCTGCGCTCTGCAGAGCGCACACTGCAGAACAACTAACAAGTACTATTTTATCGACTCCAGACACAATTCACGACTTTGACGAATCTGAATAAATACATGACGCGTAAATGTGTAATAGCCTGTAATAGGCATTACTACATATTTACCAAAGAAAAAAATTTAAGACACCTATATTATATATAAAATGCCCAGTGGCCTGTGGCCCTGTGCCCTATGGATATGGGCTTATCGGGCCTATGCCTTATGGCCAGTCTGCAGACGTCAAGTCTATCAATGAGGATTGAGGACACCCACGAGAGTCCACGACCCAAATAAATAAGCAATTTTTAAAAAATACCGTGACATACAGATGACGTTTCAATTCACATTGTATACAATTAAAAACTTTCAAGGAGCAGTGGCTTTTTTTGCATTTCCACAAATCAATTTCATAAAATATTAAATACCTGTTGTATGCGTGAAATTTATAGCCACAATCGTGCTGAATCACTGCACCTCATATCATCTATTTGTATGCTTACTTTAATACTAGAAGCCTTGCTTTTAGACATTCGGGTTATACCTATGGCGACATCTTCAGGTGGGTTGAGCTCATAATTTGCAGTGTACATTAGCTTCACTTGCAACCGCATGCGACTCGCTCGCTACAATAAGAATCATACTGTCAGGGGTGAGAAATCACCACCGCCTCTCGAAGCTATCGAGCTCTTGTTTAGATTGTAAGCATCTAATGACGGCTGCACGTGGCGGTATTTCAGAACTATACGGTCACCCCGGAGTGAGAAGGATCGGACACGGGCAAGGACTCACTACCTCCTCGGTGGCACAAGATTCGCCTATTGACGAACAACGACAGAGAAAGAATGTCGCAAATGTATCTTCCAAGTTTATCGGTACTGGGTTCATCACAATCAGCAGCGGTTATGTTGAGGGTGGCCAAATGACAGTGAAAGATGGAGTGTCGACTTCGAATGCTATCGGCGTCCAAAACCCGTCTGAGAGGGTAAGTCATCATTCTTTGCAAGGTGTTGTGGATATCATTTTAGAACCCCCTAAAAATGTTATCGTTGACCACATAGCCAATAGTGCCTCGATCGATCCATGCGACAGTGAAACTGAGAGACGGATATCAATGGACTCTGCTGATCGCGAAAAGATCGCTGATGCAGATTTCCAAAGATTTAATGAGAACAGTCCTACCGATGAAGTGGTCACCTGTATCGACAAATATGACGCCGATTTCAATACTAGCTTTCGATTTACTACATCGCGACCTGCGACAGGTGGTGGTGTATGCAAAATGATCTGCGAGCTCACGATTATGCTTGAATTGTGTAAAAGTCTAGGTACTCGGCCATCTAAGGTAAACATGATAAAGGCTGAAGCGATCAGCAAATCCGGAAATCGATTTTTCCTTGAATCTAATGCCAAGCAGCAACGGCGAGCGTTTAGATATCATACGTATCTGACTAAGTTCTGTCCGCCACTAGAAGAAACTCGTTATCAGCGCTTGCGCACTCTCTATACGAATTGGTGGGGATGTGCATATCGAACTTCAAATCTGAATGTCCTAAAGGACATCATTTCAGATATCCGCCAATTCGTTGGACCCGTTATTTTCCCACTAGCCCTGGGATTATATGGCCTTCAGGCTCCTAATGAATTGAGTGTCGGTCGCAGGTCATCCGATGGAACCGCGCCCCTCTCCACGGCTGTCGCAAGAAGGAATAAATCGCTGCCTGTGGGTGTACCCTCATCGCAAGGTATAACACGATTTTTACGGTCGGTAACACGCAGCTGCAGTCTTGGCTCATCGTCTGGCGCCGTTAATATTCTTGCTGAACACATGGAAAACGCATCGGATTCTCATAGTCCATTTAGTTCGGCACCCCCCCGGTCGGGGTACGTGTATTTGCAAGCGAATGGCACACCCTTAGGCATAGCAAGATTGAACACTTTACCAACAAGTGAGTGTAGGAGACCCGCAAAGCAACGATGCAAAAGTATGTGCAGCAGTATGAGCCCTCCTGAGCAGAACAATCGGTTCGATAGACAGCATGCATCAGTGCGTATCGAACGTTGCACCAAGGAACCAAGGACGTCTTTCGGCAGCGATGTCCATGACGAGCACGCACATATTTTTCCCATGTCGTTGCACAACATGGATGACGAGGATATAGCGGATGCTCGTGCCGAGACTATATTAATGCACTCGTTTTCACAATCTGAATTGTTACAGCCTGCGCCTGAGGAAGTCTCTAGATCCAATAGAAATATCGGAAAGCAACCGAAGCGGTGGGCGCCTCGCATGAAGAAAGCTGTCAAAGGGTTGTCAGACTTGTCAGCGTATAGCGTTGATATGTTCAAGCGGACAAAGAAGTTTGACATTTATTCTCCTAGTGCCGTACATTCAGCCAATAATGTGACAGGCATTACATTAGAGCGATAGCTAAGGCCCGCCCCCATCACTAAATTTACGATTGTGATGGATTTGTGGGCCAATATCCCATTCATTTTTTTATCGGCCAACTCGACAAAGGAGCAATACGAGAGCCGAGCTCCGTGTTCTATACATAATATATTAAAATGCTGCTGTCTAAATGAGACAAGTTGCCTGTAATGGTGTTAAAGTTATTACCGATATCAAAAATATTAAATGATCTGTTTATACCATTGAAATTCCTCCTAATGTTTACTTGTACATAGCCTTCTAAATTGAACAACCTGTAGATGGCTAGCATAGATTCTATCCTGTGCATACTGCTCAATGCCGCATCCACATTTCATTGCTAGGTAAATGTGCAAGGAAAATCCAAACTGCAGAATTACCTACAAAAATCCTTGATATCGTACCCTAAAGGCCCTAACGACTAATCGATATAAATAAACTTGAACATACACGTGGCCAGAAAGCGAAGGTTCTGTGCAGACTTACTTACCACTACCTCAACCGGTAATCATAGGATTCACATGAAGATGCGGACACAAATACATACATTTCCAAGTTTACTCGCAAGCATACGTAGATCCGTGTTTACATGTGTTTGTTAGTTGAATTAAACGTACACAAACAATGAAAGTG